AACCCGCTCACAAAGGGAAATTTCTGTACAATAGCAATTATTTTGTCAAAGGAGATACAAATCGAGGAAAGTTTCGGCAAAATTAAATATGGGTAGGAGGAATTTTCAGTGCTGTTGGTGTGACTATTGATCCCCAAGTTCTTGAGTTTACACAAATCAAATAATCAAATTCACTTCATATCACTAATATGCATGTATCAAATAATAAAAGTAGAGAAAGAACAGTAATCTTAAATTGCTATCCCCCACTAAATCCAAAAAAAAACTCTTCTTCTAACCATCAAATCATGATTAGATGAGTGTCTATCTTCAATTCAAATCGAATCAAGTTGAGCTCCATGCACAATAGCAACTGAGAATCCTCTCCAAGACAACCTGCCCAGGGTATTCTCCGACTATATTGAAGATGTTGAAGTTCTCCGTAACGCCGAATGCTATGTATGCCACACCTCCCATCCCCGAAAAGAGTAATAATCCATTGCCCGCCATATCTACGGTCTATGTTGAAAGACTTTTATCTCCGTTTGTGTCTTTTGCTGTATGTAATCCTTGAAAAACAAATGAGAAGAAACTCAGAAATAGTGCTTTTGTCATGCAATAAAGCGCTGTTCAAAGCAGGTGTAATAAAAAAAAAGTGTGAATGATATCATAAAAAAACTCCCGCCATATATTGGCCCCAAAGGTCGTTGAGACCATGCCTTTCATCAATCATTGCGCCGTTAGATATCCGTAGGAAATACAGGGAATCCTGGTTGTACAAAGACGTTGAGTCTTGTACTGATGTTGTGTTTGAGTTTATTATATTTTTATTTAGAACTTGAGGGTCTTGGGCTTCTCCCAGCTGAATTCTTGGCTGGTGAAGTGACCGTTCTTGGCAGTCTTGAAGTAGATTGGCTTGGCCAAATCAAGCTCCTTGACAATGACACCAGGTCTCAAGTCAAAGTTGGCTCTGATAATCTCAACAAGTTCATCAGAGGTCTTGTCGGATGTACCATATGTGTCAACGAAAATAGAGAGTGGCTCGGCGACACCAATGGCGTATGAAAGTTGGACGAGAGCACGTCTGGCAAGTTTTGCATTGACCAAAGACTTGGCAATCCATCTAGCGACGTAGGCGGCAGATCTGTCGACCTTGGAGAAATCCTTTCCGGAGAAAGCTCCACCACCGTGAGCACCCCATCCACCGTATGTGTCGACAATAATCTTTCTGCCAGTAAGACCGGCATCTCCTTGAGGTCCACCAATGATGAAAAGTCCGGATGGTTGGATCTGAGAAGGACATGTTAGCAAATTGTCATTGCAGAATAATTACAGTTAACTTACGTGGTAGATAGTCTCCTCAGTCAAGTATTCGGCTGGAATAACCTTCTTGATAATCTTCTCCAAGATCTCCTTTCTCAAAGACTCGGTGGTGATGTTCTCGTCGTGTTGAGCACTGACAACAACGGTGTGAACCTTTTGTGGGACAACAGCTCCGTTGTCGTGCTTGTACTCAATGGTAACTTGAGTCTTGGTATCAGGTCTGAGCCATGGCAAGCTTCCGTCTCTGCGAGCCGCGGACATAGCAGCGTTAAGCTTGTGTGCCAATTGAAGGGTCAAAGGGAACAATTCAGGAGTCTCATCAGTGGCATAACCGAACATGATACCTTGATCACCAGCACCCAATTGCTCAAGAGCTTGCTCGTAGTGAAGACCTTGAGCGATATCTGGGGATTGTTCTTCAATGGCAACCAAAACGTTGCAAGTCTTGTAATCGAAACCCTTGGAAGAGTCATCGTATCCAATATCCTTGATAGCTCCACGGATAACCTTTTGGTAATCGAGACGTGCCTTGGTGGTAATCTCACCAAAGACCATGACCATACCAGTCTTGGTAGCAGTCTCACACGCAACCTTGGAGAGAGGGTCCTCAGCTAAGCATGCATCGAGAATAGCATCCGAGACTTGATCAGCGATCTTGTCTGGATGTCCCTCACCAACAGACTCGGACTAGAGAGAACGATCAGTACAGCAAATTTGTTATCGAGTCAAAAGGCCAGCTTACGGTGAAAAGGAAAGTTCCTTGGTTGTGGTGTGAAACCCCGTTTGATCCGTTGGCTTGAACCATCGTTGCGGTTGGTATGTGTGAGGAGATGATGGAGAAGAGAGAGTTGTTGGGGAGAAGATGGGAGAATAAGATAAATGATTGAAAAGTGTTGTGTTTGTGAGAAGAAGAGAAGAGACAAAAGGTTGAGGGGTCGGAAAAGAAGGATCTATGTAGTATGTAAGGAAAAGGAAAAGTTTTGTGATTGGGATTTTTGGGGGGAAGGTGGGGTTAAACAAAGAATATGTCTGTGCTACGAATTCCAATTGGTTAGGAATGAAATGGGAGAATTGCACCATATCTCCAGGGCTGGTACAGAATACCTCCCTAGTACCTAATAGAGACTGCCAGGCTGGCCGACAGTCCAGTACATACATAGCATATTTTCCCATGCCTAGGTAGGTATGATATTGGACACCTCACCGCTGGCAATCCTCTCTTTTCTTTTGATTTTGCAAAGTCGTAATTTGTATGTAAGATTCACAGAAGCTCATGCAAGATTGATTCCATACATCCCATGTTGATTCCATGCAGGGGTATTTGGGATGAGGGACTTGCAGTTCCAGCTGCCTTTATCAGGTTATCATACAGATATGAATGAGGATCTGGAGATGTTGAATGTATTGATTGGTTGATGGTGTCAATAGTGGCTCATTGGCTCCAATCACCTAGGACACATCTCGGACGCCGAACATTGGGATTCAAGATGCCCTTCGCTCCGAGGTTGCTTGTGGTATTCTGTATCATACTATGCTTGGGCAATCTAGATCATCGCATCCACTCCGTTATGCAGCACAGGTAGTTTCTTAAGTAACATTACCGCCGAAGAATTGTCAATAGATGCTCATCTCGATCGGTTTGATAGTTTGTCTGGTGTCGATATATTGTTGCGGTCGTTTATTGAGAAAGATTCGTTCACCCGTACCGAGACGGGCCTTGCCTAGTATCCCGTAGGCTAGGTGGTACTAATTTTCTACTAATTTCCTACTAATTTTCTAGCACCTATGCCTAATGATGATAACGAAAGCTCGACTCCTTCTAGAAACATTCCATTCTCAGCCTCGAGTCAGCCTTGTGTGAAGAAACTTTTATTTGCTTGGGTAAGCAGAGAAGGAGAAGGCTGAACCTTTTTTTCTTTTCTTTTACTGATAGAAGCTACCCCACTATCAACATTTTACAACCTTCTGATAATACTTCGTAGGTCTTCACAAAATATCATTGCTCTCCTGGGCTCATTATTTACATACAAATACAAATACAAACACTGTTGTCGTCGCACATTCCTCACCACTAGTACCAGGTATCTACCATAAACATTCAAGATGAGTAAATTCGGTGTTTTAGTAATGGGACCTGCAGGAGCAGGGAAAGTAAGTCTTTCCATTCTATGCGCGCCTTTTTTCTATTTCTGGGCCTTAGCCATTCCCAATCTAAGTTCTGATTTTTGTGAATCTTCTCCTAAATCAAGTCAAGAGAGGTATATATTTACTAATCCCTCACTCCATCGCCTCTAGACAACTTTCTGTACCGGTCTTATAAATCATCTCCAAAATAATCGTCGTTCCTGCTTCTACATTAACCTTGACCCGGCCGCCGAGACCTTCTCCCACGAACCCGATCTTGACATCAAGGATCTTATATCCCTTGAAGATGTCATGGAAGAGATGGGTCTCGGCCCCAACGGTGGTCTCATCTATTGTTTCGAATTCCTTCTCGAAAATCTAGATTTCCTCTCTGAAGCCATTGAGCCTCTTACCGAAGAATATCTCATTATCATCGACATGCCAGGCCAGATAGAATTATACACACATATCCCAATTTTACCTGCTCTAGTAAAATTCTTGACCAAGACGGGCGCATTGGATATTAATCTATGTGCGGCGTATCTGTTAGAAGCGACGTTTGTGGTTGATCGCGCGAAGTTCTTCGCAGGCACTTTATCTGCTATGAGTGCGATGATTATGCTCGAGGTTCCACATGTCAATATATTATCCAAGATGGATTTGGTCAAAGGACAAGTCGCAAAGAGGGAACTCAAAAGATTCTTGGATCCGGATACGTCGTTATTGGATGATGATCAGGAAGAAGATGATGGGGAGGGAGAAGCAAAGGATGCGCAGACGTTGATGAAGGGCAACAGTTTCCGCAGATTGAATAAAGCGGTTGCGAGTTTGATTGACAGTTTCAGTATGGTATCGTATCTGAGGTTGGATGTGCAGAGTGAGGATAGTGTTGGAGGAATCTTGAGTTATATTGATGATGCTATTCAATTTCACGAGGCGCAGGAGCCAAAGGAACCAAACGATGAGGTGGAATATGATGAGGCAGAATAAGCGGGTTTGGTTGGAAACTTTGGGACAAAATGAAAATGCGCTACGTGGAATATTCAGACAGCGCAAAAATCGGTAGTCAAGTATATTTCGAATCTTGACACAAGCAGAGGCGCAAAGCTGGTTAGGAGGCATGGATTTGGAGGCGGTACCGAACCGGCGTTAAGGAGAAATAATTGTATGATGCATAGCGTTGGCGTTTGTTTGGTGAATTATCATATCCAAGAATATCAAAAGAATCGAAGATTGGGGATATTTACAGATTTTGTATCTTTGTCCCGAGCTTGCTCTTCAAAATGTGCAAATGTCCGTATAACGTCATAATATGTTCATTGTTAAGTTGCCCTATTCGCTGATGATAGATGGTAATTACAACGCTCATCCAATCATTGCCGATGCTCTGAAGCATATATCCTTCTATCCAATGCATTTCCCATCACCCAACCGCCTCTTCCTCTCCATTGCTATTCCCCATTTTCCTCACATCTAATCACTACCTCATCCAAACCAAAACGCCAATCAAACCCACCAACCCACAATATCACAAAAAGAACCCCCCACCAAACCAAATCATACCAAACCGAACCCTACCTCCTCATCTCTTGCTCCCTCCTCGCCTTCAAATACTCTTCCCAAAAAGCATCCAACAACCACCTCCCCCCCTCCACCAACTCCGTCCCCGTCCTCCCCACCCCTCTCTGCAAAACCACCATCCCCACTCCCCCAAGCACCCCCCAAAACACCAATCCAAACACCAGGCGCATTCCCCACGCCACCATCCTACGCATCAAACTCATCAGGAAGAATATAAACCAGATAATTACCAAAACACCGACCACGACAGCGATTCCGGGACTTTGACTCGCGACTTTGAGAGAGGCTTCCAGGAGGGGGAGGAGTAGTGGCATGAGGTTTGTGACGGTGAAGAGGTAGAGGGGGCGGAGGAGGGAAGTGTAGATGGTTTGGAGGAGCGGGTAGGCGCGGAGGAGATACGGGTAGGCTTGCATGAGGTAGGGAGACAGGTGCTGGTAGATGTCTGGGGGAGGGCAGTTAGCTTGGATTTGGTGGTGGAAGTAGATAGACATACCATTTACAACAGGATTCGCCTGCATGAGCGCCAGAATATCCATCTTGTGAGGTGAGACTGAGACTGAGACTGAGCGAGTAAAATAGGAGAGTTCGGGGTTTTTTTGCTTGTCGAGTTTCCTAAAGGTTCTTTATAGGGTGAAGAACTCGCTCTGATTCTTTGTGTGTGTGTTTTTTGTTTTTTTATGGCAAAATCCCCGAGAATGAAATAAAGTAGAGTAAAATAATAATATCCTTTCTTTCTCTTCAATAAGAAGCTTATTGATTGTCTCCTTGATATCGATATTGATCGTTCGTTCCTTCTTTACTTCCAGTAGCAGTAGCAGTAACAGTAGCAGTAGCAGTATCTCAATCTCAACCGCATCAAATCCAATCCGATTGAATTGAATGTGACGACCAGATCAGACTTTAGATACCCAGATATTTATACTAGGAATTCAGCTCTGAATGCTCCGCTCTGCAATCAATCAATCAATGAACTAAACAAATCAATCAATTCCCAGAACCCAATCGAAAGAACCAGAAGCAATCGACGTGGATTTATTGAAACATTTTCTTCTTCTTTTCTTTCAAATGCAAATGCATATAAAGTTTGTTTATCATTATCAATTTGTTCATCGCGGTCCCCGCCATGCTCCACTTGCTATTGTGTTGCTTGCTTGCTTCCCGGTTAACGGGAAGGTAAGCTAACGTTAGTCGTGTTTGTGCTGGGACGAGACGTCAGGCATATAAGGTTACGGGTACCAAGGTAGGCCGGGGGTTAAGGAAGAAAGAAAAGTAGACATTGTCGTTTATTTCAAACATCATATTGGAAAGTCTTTAGATAAGTTTAATAATTTATTATATATTCATGTATTTATATCTCGCAAATACCTGTGAAAGTGTGTATACCAGGTACGATATGCGATGCAACGCCAAATTATAAATAGTTCATACAATACGCCAATGCTATGCTAATAAGCCCGAACCTTCCGCAATGCAGCCAACCAGTCATGAAAACCATTCCAGTAATTGGTCTTAATTCAAATTACTCCTGTCAAATGCAATCATATCATGCCAAGTCATCAATATCATCATCATTCCATCCTAACGCCTCATAATACGATACCTCTTTCTTATAAACTTGTGTAGGTTTCATCTTTTCTAGTGCTACTGGCACATCTCTTATATTCTCTTGGTCTTCTTTCGAGGAGCCCGCAGGATAGGTGTAACCTGATATCCATTCTGATATTTTACGAACTAGAGTGCCTTTTATGGGTGTTTCCTTTAACGGTATTTCTTTCAGTGGTGTTTCCTTCAATGGCGTTTCCTGTATACCAGTAAACAATGTTGAAGGTGAAGGTCTTTTGATTGGTGTTTCCAAGTTACTTGGGACAGACGATAGAAAAGGCCTTTTGACCACGGAATCAGGAATGCTGTTGAACAGTTGTGCGCTAGAGCGGCGCATTTGCAACGGTGAAGAAGGTGGTATTGCACCATAATCAGCGTCAAAGTTTGTAAGATTGCTCGTAGATCTCAATGAACTTGACATGGGCTTTCGAGTTGGAGTCGCTTGTACAGAATCTCGAAAGGGGTCAAGATCATATGAAGGGCGAGCTTTGGATTGTGGTATAGTAGGTACACTCGATGGAGGAATGATGCCAAGCTCCATCTGGTCAAAATCACTAGATCGGCCAATAGTCGATTGAGATTCACCGAACATGTCTTTTTGACGGTTGGTTTTGGGAGTGGCTTTGATCTGTACCGATTGAAATGCTTGAAACAGCGGATTCCTGACAGGCTTTTTGGATTTTCGAGGATGTCCAGCAGAGGCAGATCTTCGTTCGGCAGTCTCAACTAAAGCTTTACCAGCTAGCTCACGATTTGGTTTCTTTAGTGCCGATATGGCGTCCTTCAATTCTGCTTCAATGGCAGCTTGTTTCTTTGCTTTCGAATTAAGGTCTGGCGCAAGTGTACTCATATCCACCTCTCTTTGGGAAAATCTTTTGGAGTTCAAAACTCCGCCTCTATTAACATGAAGAGGCTTAAACTCGGCAGAAGGTATGCTAGACAAAGATGGTGCTTCACTCGTCTCTCTTTTCAGACCGGGGATGGTGGGATCGGTAGCCGACCTCATCAAGGAAATAGCTCTATTTGAGTCTATTGACATACTACGTCTCTCTCTATCGTCTGTCAATACACGCTGCAAACTCTTCTTTTGCTTTGCGGGGACAGGACGCTTGGTGATAGTTCCTGGCCGAGTAAGCGTGTTTGAGAAACTTGCAGCTTTAGAAACCCTAGGTTTTGAAGCTGATTTGGTAATGGGTCCTCCAAGTTTGCGATTTATTGCATCACAACGATCAGGGAGACGGGCCGAGAAGAAAGGGACAATGACTTCTATACAGAAGTCCTTGAGAATATTGTCAGTATGCTTCAAGGTATTGTTGGACGTTAAGCCAGAGGTTGTATCTGGAGCCTTGATAGCTTCACTTGCAATGGACTGCCAAATACACAGTCGGTCAATGTGAACATCAATAAGCATCGTGAGATGATCCTGTTTTCGAGTCTTGGGTGTTCTTTCTTTGCTTTGTATTATCCCATCGTTAATTGGTAGACTAGGTAACCCTCCGTCTAAATTCTCATTTGTCGAAACTAAAGGTTGAAGAGCAAAAATCTCAAGTATCACAATCATTTGGAGTTGTGTTTCGCGAATACGTAGATTTGCTATACGAGTTTTTGCTAACTCTTCTTTGGACGACCCTGGAGCTCCGGGCTCTATCTCCTCGTCATGGCTAATCCACCATTGCTTAATGAGCGACTCCTCATTGGGATACAGCCCATTCTTGCCAGGCTTCATTTTCTTGTTGCTCTTTCTCTTTTTTGGTTTCACTGTAGTATCGTCGGCACTCTGGTCATGAATATCGATGGATGAGACGCAGACAGGTACACCATCGCGATATTTCTTGTCCAGAAGGGTACTTGATAGTACAAGGCTCTCTAAGAATGCGATGTGTTCACCCATATCGAGATTTGCGTCAAAGTCGATGTGAAATGCTGCGCGTGCTCGTGATAATGGACCTTTTGCAAAATAGGCTAGTGAAGTTTTGGAAAGATAAAGTGATTCGAAGTACTGAGTCCGAACGTTATCGAAAATATCAGTGGACGTGGCTTGTGTCTTCGTCTCCAAAGCAGGTAAACATATGGTTGCTTGGGTATCATTTTGAGGTTCGGATGCGGGCACTTTTTCAGCGACAACTGATTGAGGGCGAGATTCTGGCAGTAGTGGCGTAGATGGGCGTTTGATCATAGACTGTATCGCTTCGATAGCGAGTCTCTTTTTTTTGGTATATTTGCTCCCTTCTGGTGTGATGAATGGTTCGGTCGAGGTTTCGAAATGAGTTGCACCGAAAAGGAGTCCCTTCACCGGCACATCTGTGCGCTCGGTCTGGGCTACCACGGCCGATGATCTCAACTGATGTAGGTTGATCCAAGAACCCAGTTGTAAGACTACATATAATCCTCGCGATTCTCTCTCGACAGCGTATAAAGTGCGATTGTCATCTAACCTAGCTATGAGAACCATTGGCTGATTTCCCATTCGTTCCTCCAATTCCAGTATCTTAACATGGGTCTCGAAAAGTCGTGATTGGGGCAAAGAATTGGTCGCAGATCCTATGTCTAGATATGAGAGTGGTAGTTGTGACCGTGGTAATAATATTATGGGTTGAAAAGTTCGAGGTCGGGTGTTGGCTTTGGATGGGTATGGCTATTCTTGAATCAGACATGATATTGTAAACATACGTAAATGGATTACCTACCTTGACAACGAATGTATCTTTCAACAAGTCCTCCAATGAATTGTCATCTCTCTTCCGCTTTTTGCTTCCCAAATTTCCTATATCATCGTGACAAGTTGATTGTGAGCTTGGAGTCAAGACACCAGATTGTCGACGCGCTTGATGAATCGACGCGTCGGAGAAAGGGGATGCATCTTGACTTGACATAGCACCCGAATATTAATATTTGTTATATCATGAGGAAGATATTTTATAGAGTGATCTTTAATTGATATAAGGCAAAGACTGTTTGAAAAAGTTATGTTGTTGGTGAACGATAGGTAATACCTTGACAATGTAAAAAGCAATTTGCAATATAACATTTCTATCTCTACATCTAGATTCTAGACGCGTTCCACGCGAGGCTACCAACTGACAGGGATTGAGCACCTAAGTACTTTTTAGCACCGGAACTTTTTCTCCGATACGATCGATCATTGGAACTTTTTACATCGTATATCAAAGCAGCCTTTCTGAAAGTTCGGCTCGTACTCCGAACGTATAAGATATACTAGCTACCTACCGACCGACCTATTTGCCTTTGAACGCTCAGACGGGCCAAATAAAATCGTTTGGCTTGTGTACCAGAAAAGAGGGTACGACAAGCCTCCAGTTCCGAACAGATCACTGGCATCGAAAGGTTAAGATAGATATGATGTTGAGACAACACGAGCTACTTTCACACTGTAGATCTTTACATCTGTATCTCTGCTTTGAATGGCACGTACACACTCTGACTGAGTACAATACTATATCATATGTGCTGTCCATGCTGTGTTCAACTAACATCAATTAAGAATTTTCAAGATGCTCCAGCCGCCAACAAACTATAGCCTACCGTTCCTTCTACAGCCTCGAGTCAAGGTTTCCAATTTTGAACTCCCCTCGCTCCCTCGCTTCTATCATAGGTGGTAGCTCGGTAAATGGTGGCTTGGCTTTCGAGGATTCACTTTGAAACTTATCAAATATGGAATCCAAGCTTGTCATTGGAAGTGGAGGATATGATCGTCGTGGCGGGTGGCAAATGAAATAATGTCGCGAGGTGAAGTATGGCCCGCATGGATGGTTTTGTTTTTGGAATGACAATCATGACATCCCGAGGTTGGTACTAGGAAAATGAAATGAATTCCTTAATAGGTGATGGGTTGTGAGCAAAGAGCAATATCTACCATACAATGAATGTACCGCAGTATCAGTAGTATTAGTAAAACGATACAACGAATCTCCTTGGCCTTTTCAAGGAATTCAATTCTACTCTGTATCATGACAGGAAAGAATGTTTGTTGGGTATCTATCTGAATATTGTTTATACGGAGCACCGAGAGCACCGCTGTCTCCCTCTCCCAATTCATCTACTAGGCATCTAGGTAGGTACTACTCAATCACTATTGGAGCTAGGTAGATATCTAACTCAAATCATTCACTTCCCGACGTCGGTGTTCGGCATTCACAGATGGAGGAATGAATACTAGATATATATACGTATACGTATAGGTCCTGGGTATACTTCGTAGCTGGGGACCAAAGTGCATCCGAAGACATCGACATCGACTACGATGTACTAGTCCAAAGCACAAATCGGATAATTTTCCATAATTTGGCATTAGAGCGGGTCTCGAAGATCGATGATTGTGTCCCAATCAACAATCCCTAGTCCTCATCTTAAAAGCTACCCAATAGCCTTACCTACCTTCTTGAGTCTTGATTGGTATCATCTCATCTATTCCGTATAATATTTATGAGATATTTCAGCTAACTTACAGGTGATCAAACATATATCAACATACCTATGTAAACATATATAAAAATATATATTCTCTCGTGTAAGAGTTGATTCCTATTCCGATTGGAAGCTTCTCAAAACAGAATCCCCATCTACCTATCTACCTACCTACCTACCTACCTACCCACCCACCTAGTACTCATTTATCTCTCTCGGTCTACATACCTAGGTGCATCAGTGCGAGAGTCAACCTAGATT